ATTTTTGGATCATATTATTTTCGACAAAATGATGTTAGATCATAATATATTCAATTTCATTACGTTTTAGTTTATAAATAAATTTGGATAATTACATTTTTTGAATCATCTAGTTTTAAATCGTAAAATATACGATTAAGGATTATAACATATTTGGATCAAAATATTTTTGGATCATAACAAATTAAGTATCATAGACATGTTCAATCGTAATTTTTTTTGGATCATAAATATTTTGAATCATTTCATTTTGGATATTATTTTCAACATTACTTTTTTTTTTAAATCTAATCATTTAAAATAAAGTGTGATATATAGACGACCTTAGTTTTTATTTTTTTCGAAAAGTTCATAATATATGATGTATAACAGACCTTTAAAATGATTTTTTATTTGGAGAATGAAAATTTTCACATCTTATTTTTTTATTAGACATTCGATTCCTTTAAACAAAATGTATGTAGGCTTAACAACAATATTGTTTTAATTTTTTTTACAAACTTACTAAAATAGTAAGACGTTGCGTTTTTAGATTTGGAGAAAAAAATTCATTATATTTTATAAAAACTAATATTTCTTAAAATTAAAATATGAACACTTCGAAAGTATATATTTTTAAAATTATTTTTATAAATTCATTAATATAGTGAGTATAAGTATTCCTTAAAGTTTTATGATTTTTGAAAAATATATATTTTTTATGGAGTTTTTTTTATAAAAATAAGATTTTTTTTTTCAAAATTTCATGATTATGCTCATTTTATAGAACAATAAATTTTAAGAACTTTAGCGTTTTTAGAAATTTATTTTTCAAAGAAAAAAAATTATGGAAGAAAAATGAAATTGGTGTAAAAAAATAAACATCAAACCAATAAGAGAATGCCACATGTCTCAGAGTCGGAAGAGTATGGAAATGGCGCGTAGTGTGACATTTGTTTTGTTATAAGTAAATAATGATGTTTGCAATATAGTAATAGTGTAAAGTATGCAAGTGTATGTAATAAACGCTAAACAATATGATAACAAAAGTGTCTAGCCCAAAAAGGGTATTTTGGTCAGTATGTGTAAATTATGAGTTTGAGTAAAAAATTTAATGTCTTAATAGAGAAATAATCTAAATTGATAAGTGTAATCAAATTAATAAGGTCTTAATAAAAAGGACTTAATGCATTAAAGAATTGTAACATCCCAATGATGAGGTATTTCCAATTTTAACCCTTAGTATGAAGATTATTTGCATTTTAGCCCTTGTGTATGAGAAATGTTGCAAAATGGCCCATAGTGGTATTTTTGTAAATTATGGGCGGAGCTCACGTACGCTGGGCATACGTGTCAGAACCTCAAACCCTAATTTTTAGGGTTTGGACCCTATATAAACATCATTAACTCTCCAATGTGATGGGTTTTATGTAATCTAACATCCCTATGGTGTACACACAACCCTAATGCTTTGGATTCTAAGTTTTCTATAATTATACATGCAATATTCATTTTCCAAAGCATGAAGCCTAACTAGCATACAACTTTGATATTTGAATCATAAAATAACTAGTTAGATGATTACCTCTTATTGTAGCTTGTAGAACTTGGCCTTATAAGAGCTTAGCACCTCAAGTGTGATGCCTCAAATGAGTCACGAACACCACCAACAATTGGAGGACAATGAGAGAGGTTTAGGAGACACCAAAATCGGCTAGCTTCTTCTTGGAATACTTGTGTGTCGATTTTGGAGCAAAGGGAACACATTTATAGTGTAAAACTCAATGGTCACTTGTAAACCCTAATTCATACACTTAGGCTTTTAATTCAATAACACTTCATGGACTCTTATATGAACTGAGTCCATTACTAATTAATCATGGATCATTAGTCCAAATTATATGTATCACTGATTTTCATAATCAGCCCTTGTTAATTTAATCAGTCTCTTTTGATCACTAAATTAATTCCACATTAATTCTTGATCAATACCAATTAAATAATATGATTTCTCAATTAATATATTATTCTTATAATATATTAATAAATTACAAGTAACATCTTTCTCAAATATCCATTCTATCATATTGTTCTGATGAAGGCAACCCAAAATGGATCATGCTACTATCGGGTCAAGTACATACCAATTATAGTTATGGGCTTAGATAACTAATCCAACAATCTCCCACTTGGATAAGTCTAATAACTATAACTGCAGGTACGAATTCAAAAACCGACTAGCAATCGTAGCTCTCAAAAGCCGATGTCGAACTCTGACGGGTCCATTAGATAAGGGATCATATAATCCTCTGTTCTTCAAGATATCGTGTGGACAAAGACATGGAATAAAGTCATACTTATTGTCCAACAGTTTGTTTCCCGAAGACATCTTGAAAAGGCGAAAAACTCACATTATGTTTATTTTATATCATTGTTAACTAAATATAGTTAATCAAATTATAATAATTTATGCTTTTTTTATCACCATTGCTATTGTTTCTATATGAATCGAGTCTTGATAAGGTTTGGGAAATTGCTATTAGGATGGAGATTCAGATTACTGTGGGTGTAGGCCACCAATTTGATATTGCCAAAGAATGTATCATGTCATTTTATATGTGCATTTGTAAAGATAAGATATGTCAAGTTTGACCATATGTTTTGGTTTCCATACATACCCAAGTCCTGGTGGTAATGTTGGTAATCTAAGAGAAGAATCATAGTAATGGAAGAAAGAATATGCAGCTGTGAAAACCAAAATAAAAAGTAGTCATGATCTATTCAATGATCACCGGACATTGAATTGTAGTTTCAGTTTCAGCATATGCTTATGAGAAATTTGTCAATTTTGGTAGGGGTAAGTACAAGCAATAGAAACATAATTTTATTCATTTGTTTATTATAGTGCCCTAGATACATTTCGTATCTACCTGCTTCAATTATACTCTGTAACTATGTCGACATTCATGACGAAGTATCCAAGTTACCTTTTCTTGGGTCGTGCTAAGCACGGGCCTTATACCTACCTAGTATATATACACTAGGCGAATGCCCGCGCGTTGCGCAGAAAGACATATATAGTTGAAATCTTTACAAATATATGTTTTTTTTAGATATAACAATAACGTTGTTGTTAAATTTGATATAATAATTCGTATACTAAATTGATATGATATATTGATTATTTTGAACTATATAATAATATATATATATATATCTATTATAACTGCATAATCTCAATCGTTTAAATGACTTCTACCCGCGAGTTACTCATGAATAAAATTAAATATAATATTTGCTTTAATGTTATTTATAGTTGTTGCTAGTGTTAATTAATTTTTTAAAATCTATTTGCTTAACGTTTTAATTGCTATCATTATAATTATTTAAAATTCAAACATTAGTTTTTGATTTTAAATGTAACAATATAATCATTTATATAGAGTTACTTTTAACTATTGTTATTGTAAGTTATTTTAAGCTACTTATTTGAAAACTTTTAACGATTATAAAAATATCTTTAGGAAATATTTTTGTTAAATTGATATTACAATTTAGTTTTTGCATTTAGCACTATAATTTATCCTTTTTAACTATTCACAAAATATTCTTTAGGTTTTTTAAGTGGAACTGAAATTTATATTTAAGTTAACACTGTAATGTTATATTTGAATTGCCAATTTAAGTATTTTGTCCAAACTGTTCAAAAGTTATAGCTTTAAACCGATAATGGTTTACATACAACAACATATTAAATCTAATAAATTAAGTATAATATGTTAAAAGTTAAAGATATAACTTTATATGCAGAAGCAAAAATATTATTTTAATATTGGAATTTAGTTTATTTATGATTACACTTTAGGTTTGATATTTATTTAACATTATTAACCAACTTATAATCATTATTAGAAAGACACTACAATTTATTACTTTTAACTATTTACAAAATATTCTTTGGTTTGCTTAAGTTAAACTAAAATTTATTTTTAAGTTGACCATGTAATGTTATATTCAAATTAATAATTTAAGTATTTTATACAAATTGTTCCAAAATTGTATCTTTAAAATGATATGGTTTACATCCAACAATATATTAAAACAAATAAATTAAGTATAATATGTTAAAAGTTAAAAAAATCACTTAATAAGTAGAAGTAAATATATTATTTTAATATTGAAATTTAGTTTATATGTGATTACACTTTAGGTTTCATATTTATGTAACCTTATTAACCAACATATAATTATTATTAGAAAGAAATTGAAAAGTAATGAGAGTTTCAAATGAATGTGATGAAAGGAAAAATGCTTCCTTTATAATATAGTTTGATATATATATATATATATATATATATATATATATATATTATATTATATATATATATATATATGCGTGTGTGTATGTGTGTGAAAATGATAAACCACACCACAATCTAGATGACCCAAATTAATTCCATCTTAATGCCTATCACATAAGGAATAAATCGCCAAGTACTAGGAATATTTTGGATATATCATTGTTTGAACCCTAAACTTTTTTATGAAATGTTACACCTCAACCACTAGAGTTACTTTGTGATGGTCGTGTGTATGTGTATGTATATCTTTCATAAAATGGTCTGTCACAAATATTTTATGTTGGAAACCAATTGATAATTAACGAAGAAATCTTTTTTTCGGTAAAAGTTGCAAATCTATCACAAAATCTTTCATACAAAATTAACCACATGTTTTTTGTCGAAGGATTTTTGGTCGAATTTTTGTCGGTAAAAGCCATTCCGACAAATTTCACCGTCATAAATGATCATGTTTTGTAGTAGTGTAATATAGTAGTTTTTTCATAACACTTTTTAAGAGTTGAAAAATAAATGTTGATAATTTGACATGTTATTAAAGTCATTTTACTTACTACGTCTATAGAAAAACACACATATCATATCTTCATCATCGTAAATATATATAAAAAACAATTGATATAACATATTTATGCTTGTATCATACATATCATTAAACTTTAACACACGAATATATTTTACAACGTTCAAACTATTATTATATAAAGAAAAAAGAACCCACACATGTAGTAGAATACACAAACAATAACCTAATTAAGCCAACGTGACTTTTGCTCATAGCTTAAAACACTCAAGTGCCCTTTCTGCCTCACAATTGTTACCCGTGAACATACTAAAAAACTCTTTGTATGTGTAACCTCGATACAATGGTGTCAAGGAACTTTCCTTGAGCACACTATCCGCAGGTCGTATTAAAATGTCACTTGAAGGAGTCAGGAATGTCCCGATGGTGGTCCGTGACTCCTTTGAATTCGTCACCACTCGGTGCACCGCACTTGATAGCTTCCCATTGCTTATAACCTATTCAATTTTAGCCCCTTTGTCAGTTTTAGTCCAAAACATCGAATAGTATGCAAATTTAGTATAGAACTTACTCTTAACTGGAGCCCCGGGATCACAACGAAAGCATTAGGGAGAGGCTCGATCCCGATCCATCGGCCATCTTTAAGAGCTTGAAGTCCAGAAATATTACCTTGTTGAAGCATGCTAATAAGATTAGGGTCACAATGTTCGGGCATTCCGAGTGTTAAACTTGGATTTGGACAAGGAATATGATGGTTCACTGATATCAATTGGGTCTTGCTCAATTCGCCTCCAAAATACCCCGTTTCGAGCCCCATTCCTTCACAAATTAGCTCCAACATTGTCAATAAAAACTTCCTCGCTTCAATCGAGTACTTCCCAATAATATTCCTATGCATTCCATTAAATATATCAGTTAAAGAATACAAATTGTCAGTGTATATCATATTGGTGCGATACCGTCTTATAAGTGTCTATATATGTTGGAGTCTCCCCTCTTTTCATAAGACATTTTTGGGGAATAAACAAAACACTCTACATATATCTTACATAAAGTAATCATTAGTTTTTAATGTTTAGATCAAGAATTTGTTACCGATAACCGGAAGGATTTTCAGGCCAATGGGTTATATGATCTTCAAGAGGATGACACCGGTGAGTTAAATTGTCTCGCCAGTAATGAACCGTTTCATTTTTATAGTTTAACGTGCTCGTGTACAACCTACAACTCGAGTTTAAATCGTTTGAGTAGAATCTCGATTTAAATTCCGCAGGAGACGCAAAGAAATCTTGAAAAATTCTCATTGTTTGATCCATTAAGTCCCTCGAAACTCCATGATTGATCACCTATATTGTATAAAACGATCAATGTAATAAGTTCTTTAATCGCTACAAGAAACATGACATTAAGTGACTCACGACTTAGGATAATTACTTACCTGAAAAAGTCCAAAATCTTGACTTGCTTTTATAATATGTTGAACGATCTCAGATCGTTCAGGGCCATAAATCTTTTCTAGATTGATGATCGGAATGTCTTTGGATGCCGGAATATTATTGGTTCCAGGCCTTCGTTCAAGTGGGAAAACATAGCTTTCGGGTAAAGATTGAATGTTGGACCAGTTCGAAGTGAGAACATCCATAGTTGAGAATGCATGCATTGGAAGACACATTATTCATACTTATTTATATTTGAGATATTGTAAACTTAAACATCGTGCCATAATTTTGTATCAATTTTTAGTTTTGTTGTTATTGAAAGTTGTGGTCCTATGAGAAATTAGAAATGGACCACAATGAATCATATCAATGTATAATAAGATTTGTGTTGCAATCTAACATTAAATTAATGGTTGCGATAACGATTAGAAATTGGCTTCAGTTCATCAACTAATAATTGTACTTGTAAAAATTAGTTTTCTGGATGATAATTGTACGAATTCAAGTTATTAACTTATTGTAAAGTTTGCGTTCTTCAAAGAAGTCCTGCTTTGGTGTGGTAGGACACTTGCCTTTTTATTATTATTAATATACATATTAATATGAATAGTGACTATTGCGAGGGGAAAAGCCAGTGAGCAGTTGGCTTAATTTTGATTTTGTTATACACATTTCCCCTACATAAATGGTCCGTCCTTTTTGTTGAACTTGTCACTTTTGATCCTTATGTGGGTTTTGCTATTATGCACTCCTATTTATTTACTTTTCTATCTTGCACCTTTACCACAAGTTAGAGAAAGGAAAAATGACACAAATGCCCTACGAACTTTCTAGGGTTTACCCGTTAAGTCCCTAAAGCTTTTGTCGGGCTTTATGGGTCCCTAAACTAGGATATGACCTTCTCTTTTAGTCCCTGTCAACCTGTAATAGCCGGTTCAGTGACCTTTTAGATCAAAAAAACTCACATTATGCCCCTATAAAGCCAAAAAAATAAGTTCGGGGATCAATTCGTACCAAAAAAACTCTCATTTTCTTCTAAAGCCGATTCACACTCAATTCGTACCCTCCTAAACCAACTGCTCATCAACATTTTATTCAGCCATTACAACCACCATAACCCACCTTAATCACTATCGAATCAATATCACAACAGCCCAATCCAAACACCCTTATTCCTCCCGTTTGTCTTGTGAAATAAGCCACCATTGGAGCACCCATAACCCACAAAAACCACCATTCAACCACCATAACCAATCACCTGCAAAAAAAAAAAAAAAAAAAAAAGAGATTAACTCTTGTTTTCTCTGTGAACCTCATCAAACCCATGCATCCTTCTCAACATCGCATCCATCAAACCTACAACTCGGAGGGAGAAGGACATGTAGCTTGTGAGATTTTGAACAGAAAAGAAGGAAGGAGGGGGTCAATTCCTTGAAGAGCTGAAATCGAATCAAAGAAAATAGTAGAAGAAGTTGTGATCGAGAATCGATTAGAATGGGAAGAGGGTTGTGATCTTCGGTGTGTGTGTGTGTGTGTGTGACAATCGAGGTTGAAGACGGAAAGAAGAGCAACAATCGATTCCTTGGGAGGGTACGAATTGAGTGTGAGTCGGATTTATAATAAAAAAAAGGAAAGTTTTTTTTGGTACAAATTGATCCCCGAATTTATTTTTTTGGCTTTATAAGGGCATAATGTGAGTTTTTTTGGTCTAAAAGGTCACTGAACCGGCTACTACAGGTTGACAGGGACTAAAAGAGCAGGTCATATCCTAGTTTAGGGACCCATAAAGACCGACAAAAACTTTAGGGACTCAACGGATAAACCCTAGAAAGTTCGTAGGGCATTTGTGTCATTTCCCCTTAGAGAAATGATCCCTGTATTTTTTGACTTATTAAGAAATCATCCACTTTTGATTTTTTTTTAGTTTTTGTTGTTTTAAATGCACAGATTTTTGGGTTTTTTTTCACCTCGGGTTATTATTAAGTTCTGTAGAGAGTTATAATTTTTTGTTAGCGAATGAAACTAAAACGCATTTAACATAATTGTTTCTTCTTTTAAAACTAATGGTTAGATATGAATATGATATATTATTATTTATAGATAATCATCTTTGTTTAGTTAAAATAAGATTGCAATGACCTATTTTAAACAGTAGGCAGGTGTTTTGTAATGAGATGTGTTTTTGGAAGTTTGCAAAAAGCCGTTTAACCAACACTAACACCGAGCTCCTTCCTGGCTTCTCAAAATTTTATTTTAATAACATTGTATTAAACACCAAAAAAAATATCTTCACTATAAACAATTATAATGGAATTATTCATTTTTTTTTATCTAATTATAAGCATCAACCTTTTTCTTTTATGGATCAACGATTAACCAAAATGTTGACAGGGATAGAAACCTGCATAATTAAGTAGAAAATCAAAAGTTCATAATTTTAGGTGTAAATTAAATTTAACTATTTGTAAATATACTTACCATGTCGCACTTCTACCAGCCATGGTTGAATATAAGGTAGCTCAAAAAAGAAGAAAAAAGAATATGTAACTACTTGTTGATGAAGAAACAATAACATGAACTTGCACTACGAAGAATAATTAGCTATATGGACACAACCTACAAGGACGACAAAATGCCGTTGATATAGCGGACATATAGGGATGACATGCCGTCTCCTTAGGGTTGACCAATTTTTTTTGACCGGTTAATTTATAAGAACAAATTGTCGTCTCAATAGATTATGCGGGAACTTTGGCAGGTTTGTGAAAAGTTATAGAGACAATACTTCGTCCCTACAAATCTAAAAG